TGCTTAGGGCGAGAGTGAGAGAGAGAGAGGGTCACACAGGGTGAACAGTGTCTGTATGCACGAGCTATACTGCAGGGACCAGAAATCGTCTTTGGCTACAGAGGAGCCCATGATCAAGGTCTCATGTCAAGCACAGTTGACCTGCACAGTTGACTTTGGCTAATTATATCTTACTGGCTCTTTAAGCAGGAGGAGCAAAGCAAGCTTGTTGAAAGATTTCATTGGTGACTTCACAACCTTGTTCATTATCAAACCTCAGCTACTGAGGACTATACAGATAGCAAATGCAGGTGGAATATAGTTTATAACTATAAACATCAAAGCCAGTTTTGCACTCCATAAAAAGCAATTTGCATTTGCTAAAACTAACTTGATCCGAATACTATTCAGGAGTGAAAAATGTTATTATTTCATTATCCAAGCATTCTGCTAGAGGATCCCAGAAAAAAACCACGTCTTTCTCCAGCATTGCAAAACTTTCAGTTTGACCACATTGCCAGGAAGAGAAAGGTATTTTCCATTTTTAATACCATAAATGCTGTGTTTCTCAAACTGGCTCCAGGAAAAAGGGTGCAATGTCACATATCTGAACTCCCGACTAATGCCAAAACATGAAGAAACGTTTTCCAAAGAAAACACGTCGTAAGCATTAAGTCTTATTAGATTTTCTGCTTTGGTGAAGTATACTTAAGATCTCGGAACTAGGCATTCTTAAAAAAAAAAAAATGCCTACAGTTTTTTCTTATGAATATTATTCTGCTCAAAGACGACTACCAAGAGTCCTTTCTCAAGCACTGTCTGGGAATAACTCCAGCAATACCAGCAAAAGCAGGACTTCTGCTGCCGCCCAAGAGAGCCTTTGCTTTGAGAGTTAAGAAAAGGCTTACAGAATCTTGATTTGCAGGGAAGACAATTTTTTTGTCAGTGTGATCCAGTTCAGTGCAACACATACGCTCTCCAGACTAAGGGCTGCCGTCTGGTTGAACACCGAGACTGAGCCGGCAACCCGGAGGCAAAGGTGCGTCCTGAGACTCTCACTCTATTCCCCGTGGGCACTTCCAGCGAAGAGGAGGACACGGGCGGCGGGGCTTCCCCCAGTAGTGCAGAGGGGCCCAGGAGACAGCTTTTGCACCATTTACCTTCCCCGTTGCATCTAACCCCAACTAATCATATATTGGTTTTATTAAAAAATTACATTGCAGTTAGACCTTAGGCTTAGACTCACAAAAAACTAGGTTCAAGTCCAGCATCTGTGCCCATCATAACCTGCTGTGACCCAAACTGTCACTCTTTCAGTCATTCAGGTAAATTTAAAATAGGTCCTCCCGCCAAAGAGTGGGGAGTGCTGGAGTACCACCGAGGCACAGTCCTCATTGGCTCTGTCCCCTGCATCTCCCTGGTGCTCGCAGCAGCCTGCCACACAGCAGGCGCTCGGCAGATGCTCGCGACATCAACCAACCAGTCAGCACAGTGTCGGGAATGCTACATTAAATGTACTTTTTGGAAGCTCATGAAGGCATTTCACAGCATCTCATTTAGATTCAGTAAAGGCTTCCTTGTTCTATTTTGTTTGCATTGCAGATGAGATAAATATTATAAATATTTTCTATCTTCAAATAAGATTTTTTGTGTTCACGACTTGAGG